CATTATGTTAGTGCATGGCAGGCTAAGTTTCTTGCTTTAATGCCAGGAGGTGCTCGTCAATTTTTAATGTCTTCTCTGCAATGTTCCGGTCGTATTGTATTTAGTTTGTATTCGTTCCTTTTCTGAGAAATTGTAACTTTCAGTTGGGGGGGGGCAGCCATGCACGTTCTATATACAGTACACTCCACTGGATTTTCGTATTAAACTGGGTTTCCATTAGCTACTGTATTGAAGGAATAACTCAGTGCATTCAAACAATCTAATTCACTCGCAAATTTTCCAGATTTCTAATTTGCAATTGTATAAGGTAAATTTTCACACCAAATAGCATAAATGAATCTCTATGTATGAGAAATTTTGAAGACTTTCCATGTGCTAATAGCAAGAAGTATTCAATATCCATGTTCAATTGGATGCTATACTGATCAAGAAATTATTTTTCTTCTCTTCCAGATGTGTCTTGGATTGCCCTGTTCTACACCAGACATACCGGAGCCATGTTGAACTATATATATTGCACTTATTATCAATAAAACCACTGCCATCGTACACTGTACTCTTCACTCATTGTAACCACTGCCATCGTGCACTGTGCTCTTGCACACATTGTAACCACTGCCATCGTGCAGACCAAACCCTGCCATCGTGCAGACCAAACCCTGCCATCGTGCAGACCAATCATTGCCACCGTGCAGACTGTGCTCTTACACTCATTACAAATAAACTCACCGGGACACTGCCATGGGCAGCGGCCGAGATAAACTTTTTTCAAAAGTCTTGTTTCACTACTTTGTAGAGACCTTGTACAAGAGATATAAAAAAAGACATTTACTAATCTAGTGTCTGGGGGGGGGGGGGCTATAACGCATTAATCATTAGACGCACTGTCAATATCCGTCATAACTTTATATTATTTTCCAAGAAATTTCTTCTTAAGTTGGATGTAAGAAATATCATGATTTTGACAAAATACTGTATATTACTTTTGTACAGTGCCAAATGTCTATAGCTCATAAAAGCTACATTTGATATTGTAACATTTCTATCACAATTTGGATTATAGAATCTAAAAGATGATACTGAGATACGTTTTGCATTGATATATACATGAGTTTAGATATCAAAACAATAAAGCTAGACATTCTATAATTTTTTTTACTTTTTATCAATCCATTTCTTTCTTAATTTGCTGTTTATTACAAAATATGTTAATGTAAGTCAACATCTAACCACATACCAAATATGGCAATTCATTCATAGCTTCTTGTTTCATGCTGCTGAATCAGCTAAACACAAACTACATGTAAGCTACAAACACACGTACACTTTGCAAAAAAAAACAGAATCTTTCCAGCAAATAATTACATCTGCTGAAGACTGATATTATCAGCACCGGCTCTTTCACCCATCCCAACAGGTCCGCCATATCTGAACCTCCTGATTATGAATGATATCAAGACAATCAGAGTCGATAACATCACTGCGATATGGCGGACTCCGAGCTGTGGTTCTTTAGCGTCTTTTCGTTTGTTTGTCACAGATCTTGTGGCGTTATAAGAAAATGTTACAGGCTTGCCTGCAGGAGCGAAATTCAAAGGGGATGACTGGAGATCGTTTCCAGGTCTAGTTGTACTTTCTGGACGATCCCCAGGAAGTTTGACAGTACATGTAACTCCTTGAGTCAGTCTTGGTTGAAGTTCGGTCGTCTTGGCAGTTGTTGACACCACTCTGCATTCCGTTAGATAGTGTGAGGCGTTTGACAGTGGCAGGCCTTCCAGGTGACTCGGGGAGGCGCACACCATGTCGTCAGCTTGAATGGCACCGAACACGCAGGTGTCACACTGCACACAGGTGGCTAGCACCCGTGAGTGCTTCTCTGTTTGAACTGTTTCTTGCTGGCATCTAAGTCTGTTGACTAACCACTGCATTATACAGTCACAGCGAAGTGGGTTGTACTGAAGCTTGACCAAACTCAACATGGGTAAGCCTATCTGATGTGAGGAGAATGAAGCCAGCATGTTGTTTGCCAAGTTCACATACTTCAGATTCGGGAGATCCTTGATGACCGCACCCAAGTTTACCTCCACGAGCCAGTTGCGATTTAGTAAGAGGTCTTGCAAAGCCGGCAAGTTGCGAAGTACAAGCCAATCCAACGTTTCCATACGATTCCACCCCAAGTTCAGTACAATAAGGTTTTTCAGCACGGGAAATTCTCGAAGGTTCTTGACGTGGTTTAAGGAGAAGTCCAGAGTGGTTGTGTTGGGCGGTAGTCCCTGTGGTATCACAGTGTTGCCCTGGTAACGGTCAGCAATTCCGATGTGACAAACGATGTGTAACTGTGAAGCTGCTGTGTCGTCTGGTGGGTCAGAAATCACGCATCCTTGTGGCAAGGTGTGATCATCCATAGAAACCAGTCCCAAATTTGAGACGATAATTATAAGTGACAAGCATATCATAGTGGTTCATGTGAAGTCCTCGGATATGTAACTAATAACTGTTCTAATAGCAGGTCTCGGACTGCATACACGTAGAATAGGATCCGGAGTCCAGACTAGGTGACTTACATTGTACATGTGCCGTCCTCGTAGATTTTGCACGTACAATTTAAGAGAAACGTCTTTATGATTCTTTTTCCACGAAAGTTATTCAATACAATGAAGTACTTGCCTTGGACAAAGAGAGCTCAGAGAGTACGTTGTAACTGGATAGAAATCTTGAATATAATTCTCCACCTGCTGTCTCCGTTATCCACCTTCAGATGACAGCTTGCAGACTTGCGGACCACATTAGCCTTGGAATATTCATCCATCTTTTTTTACACACTGCGTGGTGTGATTTTTTTTCACGCCTACGCCAAATAGTAACATAAGATACTGCGTGGGATCTATATCATTATAATCTTTGGTGGAGGATAGAAAAAAGTCAAAGAGCATTGACATGCAAAAGTTCTACAAGACATACATTACTGTTTTTGAGATTAAACGATACGCCTGCCTTGTTTGACTATTCAATGCATCACACTGTACACACCTAGTGAAAACCGCGAATCGGCTTGCATAAATTAATCGGCGATACCAGACACAAGATTAAAGGCCCCCTTCACGCAAGGAGTGTGGCATGGGCTAATCTCCAAACAGATCTTTTGGTGGGGGTAGGACAGTATCAAATTGGTCAGTCTGTACGAGTATCTTCGGTGGGGAAATAGATACAGACTGGCCAATTTGATACCGTCTTACCCCCCGCCAAAAGATTTGTTTGGAGATTGGCATGGGCCAGAATATCACCAGAATAAGACATTTTTGTATATCTTTGACGATCCGAGCGTATTCCTGTCTATTCAAAGTGCATTCTGAAGATTTGGATTGCATTCTAAAATATACGGTCCCATTTTGGCTCTCCTTTAAATGTGATAGACCCAAAGGCTAAGGTAGGAGCCATGAAGTCAACAAAAGGCTGTGTTATAATTCAAACAATGAATTTTAAAGTTTTCATCAAACCAATGAACTGAAAAGATGAAAAAAACTGTACCAACTATATAACTGTAAAGCTGTGATGAATTAATAAATAAAATAAAGTGCCTGTTTTGGCCAAACTATTAGGTTTTAGGTGTTGATTCTTTTTTTTAACGGAAGCTGGTGAATTTGAAAATTAAAATAATTAAATATTTGTGTTCATACGATAAGAAAGAAGTGAAAAACAAGCTTAAGAGTCGAACTACCTCAGAAATTGGTCGACAAGCCAAGCCACAGGGATGACAACTGACCCAAAATCTTCAGAGTGTATATACATGCATATTTGTTTATTTGTTAATTGAAACAACTTAATACACAGCATTATCTTGCAGCAAGTATTACTTAATAAGATTGAGTGAAATATCAAACTACTAGAATCGATTTTACATTATGTACAGAAAACAACATCTTGTTTATCTTCATAATACATATAAGGATTACACCATTATGAAGCAGTGGTGGTATGATAGGGGATACTAATAGTGGCTCAAAAGATTAACATGGCACATTTTACATGTATGTCTGAACTAAAATCTACACGTATATACAAATGTTTCAATGATTTTTATACAGTTCGATAACCAATCACTGACTTTTAAATTTTAGCAAAATCAGCATAGAATTGTGAATACAGTTATTGTTGATGCAGAAAAAGATTCTGGACTGAAAGATAATAATTTTTTTTAAATTAATAGGTATGCAGTTTTTTTTCAATATTTACAACTTGTGCGTGATCCAGACGCTATATTCGTTGTTTCGTCAACGACATTGCAATGCTTATCACTTCAAAATCTTAGTTATTCATCGAACACATCATTCAAGCACTTGGGTCTTGCCATGGTGAATAACAGTTATAATTCTACATTGACTTTCCCGACGCTACGCCTTACTATGAATTGTACAGCAATTAATAAATGTTGATAAATATAAATAATAAATGATAAATATGTGATTTTTTTTATTTTTCACTTTTAGAATATTGTAATAAGTTATATTTACATACATGCTTCTTTTGAATATGTTTGCAACCACAGAAGGAAAACATGCCGTTTCAGGTCGGATTTCGTCTTCCCTCGTTCCAAACAAATTATAATAGGTCACTGACCTGCACATCACACCGTGTCAGCGATCACCATTGTTACATTTGTACAGTTGAGTCGGTGGTTAATTTTACCATGTTTCAGTCTTCTTGTAACTTCTTCATATTTATTTTCAAGTAATCTAATATCCACAAGCACATCACCTCTGTCACATATACAGTAACTCACGTTACACCTACAAACACTTCTATTCGGCTTCAACTGACTTTTATCAAAAGAAAGGAAGGTAGATCCACATGTAATCTAGGTACTGATATGATACTGTCACAGTGACAGTTCTATTAATTTAACAATTTACAAAATGTGCAGCCATATGTACAATCTCATGCCCCAAAAAGATACAGTACCATTACCATAAGATATATACAGTATATGGGTAACATTTTGAATATACATGGTTGCAGTCTATATTCCTAAACCCAGCACCTCCTGTGGCCTGCCAAGCTGTATCACAAGTGTGGTTTGTATGTCGAGCAATTTACTGCTTTCTTAGGTCTTGTCTTAATTTGTTAATTACTAATGTCTAGCCAAGTATTTAGATATACTGATAAGATTCTGAGGGTAAAGAGGGCATTCGGGTGGTGACGTATAGCCAGCGGTTGTGTGTATGAGGGAGCTAACTTAGCTATGAGCAGAAAAACTACATGTGCAAGAATCCCGCAAAAATGATCGAGAAGAGGTGTCCCGATGTGATTATCTGTAAAAAAACGAGCCATAGGGAAGCCGCCTTGCACTGATGGCTACCACGAAAGCTTGACTTCGACAGAAGAAGAACAAGAAGACGGAGGGTTGCACCAAATGCATATATGACCCATGTCTACGTTAGAGCAGTGGGGCCAAAACTCCGAGAGAAACACTTTTATGATTTGACATGTCATAAGACAAGGAAATGTAGGATTTTTCAGATACTTAAAAGAAAGTGCTTTGTTGTCTTCAGCTTTTTCTTCATACTAGCCCTTGCCATAGGGATGCTTTACGCAGTGTAGTTAGCGACGACCTTCAACGTACGTGGAGGTGTGTTTCTGCATGGGTTCCTGTCTTGGAAATAGGGTGGGCAGGGTAGCTATGGGAGTGAGTGAGTGAGTGAGTGAGTGAGTGAGTGAGTGAGTGAGTGAGTGAGTGAGTGAGTGAGTGAGAGTGAGTGAGTGAGGGTAGCTCAATCTGTGTGGTGTGTTTCTAGGTGTGTCCTGAGATCTCCCTGGTCAGTAGGCACTAGGTAGTCTAGTCACGGGTGGCTCTGTGTGGCGTGTTTCGGTGTTTCACACAGAGCCTCGAATAGCCAGTAGGGTTTAATTGGTGTGGTCAGAGAAGTGTTTCTATATGGTATGATACTGTGTTACTACGATGGCCAGTGGGTAGTAGGGAGTGCAGGGAGAGAGGCCCTGCGTGGTGTGCTTCTGGGTTTCCCTATTGGAACCTCCCAAGGCCAGGGGCTGTTAGGCAATGCGGGTAGGGTGGGGCCGAAGCGTTGGCTGATGGACAGAGCTCCCGACGCATCCGTGGTGTTGACGTATGTTCTCACTTCTTGGATAGTAACATCTCCAAAAATGTTTCTACTCGTTACGTTTGCTCTCTCCTCTTTGACCCAAGGAAAATCTTTATACAAAGTGACGCGATGTGTTTTGGACTTCCTTTTTAAGCCATAGGTGACGATGTGCCTGCCTGCTGTAGACCTACTGCTCCGGGAGGTACTTGAGGCTTGTCTATAGGTGTGTGTATTTTTCCTGATGTTTGTGACTTCGAGAAGAGCTGGCTCTGCAGTCGCAGCGTAAAAGGAAATGGGTCCATCGTTATCGTCATCATCGTCATATTCACGAGGATGGAGAGTCGCAGGCAGTGACTTACAGGAGACAGTGTCATCTTTGACGACTTCTTGCCTCCCTGTTATTGCGGAAAGGCAAGGTCTTACTCGTCTTACCTGGGGAACAAAGCCATCTGGAATCTCAGTGTATATGTGGGGGAGGGCTGGGAGAGGCCGTTGCGCTAGAGCTACATGATCTGGGATTTTGGAGTAAGTCGGTTCGATAGAGTTAAGAACAGCAGGCAGTGTTCGTCGTAAGTCAGGAAGGGAAGCTGACTTAACCATGCCGGGGACAGAAGGAGGCGTTCCCGTTTGACCATCAGTGACGGCGCCCATACCCTGATTGTTTGACCCCCTTCTCTTTGTTACGAGGAAAACGCTCAGTGACAAAAACAGAATGCACAACATAACCATCACAATGTACATGGGCACATAAATAAACCTCATTTCCCCTTCGACAGATTTGGACACAACGGTAGTCATTAGTCGTGTCTGGTACATTGATGTTGGTGTTGTCTGGTTTGTAAGTTCTGTAAGTACTGTATGAAATATCGGGGAGCTTGTTTGTTCCATATCAAACTTCTCTTTAGAGCTTGTTTCTTGGCTTTCCAGGCGAAATGGGGAAACACTGAAATACGATTGGAATGTGTCGTCTTCTGTGAGCTTAAGGCAGGTCACATCTTGTGTTTTTAGCGTAGGCGTGTTACTCTCGTAGTGTTCGACGACTAATGCGTCTTTTCTTTTGATGTAATTTGTGTTATACAACACAGCGGCAACATTAACAGTAGCTAGGTTATCAGTACCAAGGGAAACTACCGTGAGGCTTAGTCCACCCTGTAAAGGAATGGTCACGCCTTCATTATCATCCCATACATGCCTACACTGGTCAGTACTGCTAGACGCCTGTTCGTCCAGCGATCCGTTTGTGACAATGACTACAAAAGGTGACTGTATGTTTATCCTAGAAGCTGAATGTGGACATATTACAGAAGAGTGTGTTGACGTTGAGCTATCATAGTAGTCAGGCCCGGCCGCATCAAACA